TACACACCATTTAAAAGTCAAGTGAGTCAGTATCCAAAAAAAAAAAATTGAAGCAAAAAATATTAAATTTGTGGAGGGTTATGATGGTTGGAATAAAAATCGTGGTTGTAATCTAGACTTCTGGTAATTGATGTGTTCTTTTAAAGTCGTAAGATAATATAAAATGAGCATGTATATTCATTACTTGTTTATTTAATTTACTAAGGGTAATTTCTATTCTGTTAGGATAACATACTTTGTACTTTGGTAAATAAGGGTGTTGATATAATGTGCTGTTATAAATTATTTATGGTCACTATGTTCGAGTGTGTTGGGTTGATGACATCACCAAAATGGGCTCAGTAAAGAATATTATGTCAAACCCTGCAGGTGGATGTGTATTCGATATAATGGTTAATGATCTGAGTGATACTAGTTTCGAAAATGAATAAGAAGTTGATTAATTATTTTGTCAGTAATTTAATTAATCAACAGATATTATATCTTAAATACGAGGAGGTAAATTGGTCAATTAGATTAATATTAATTAATCAAGTGGAGGTTCGAATTTATTGAATAAATTGGAGCTAAATGGGGAGAGCAATAAAATTACTCTAGTGGAATGTTTTATTATTTAATTCTATGTAGAAATTAGAAATTAATTGTTTTCTATTATATAATTTTCTAAATAAAAGAACATTCCTTCTAGAATATTACAAAACTATGAAATCTTCTAGAAGGTAATTAGGGTTAGAAGGAATATTATCCTGCATGGGAAAAGATTTTGAACATAATTAGGTTTCCTAAACCTTATATGATAAGCTCATATTTAGCCCTCCTTAAGGTCCCTAATGTAGCCTATAAATACACCATGTCTTGAACTCTTCCCTTACGCATAATCACACGTACGATTTAAGGATTCCTACGGGAAAAGGGAAATCGAGTGTTTTATATATTGAGAGTTCGAGAGATCCAAAAAATTGCCCACCGAGATTTTTCAGAATAGGTGGTTAGGTAATACATTAAAAGACTTTAAGGTACAATAAATCGAGCCTTTTATTTGTGAATATTTCGACCACCCTCAATCGCCGTCCGCCGCCACCTGCCGTCGGCGGAGCCGCCGTCCGCCGTCGTCTATCGCTGAGGGAAGTCCGCCCGCGCCCAGTCGCACAGCCCCATCGACGACATCGCATACCCGCCTGCTCGCGCGCCACCGCAAGCCCCAACGACGATCGCCTGTCGCTTGGACGTCGTCGCCCGAGATATTCGCGCCCACTGGCCTGCGTGTGTTCACAGTCGCTCGCGTCTCTCGCCCGCGCCCTAGTTCTGCCTGACCTAGGACTGCTACAGTCCACGCGCCCGACCTTCTCGCGCGCCGCCTGCGCACGCCAGCACCCACCGCACCGCACGCACCTGCCGCTTCGCCTGCCTGTGCTTGACCGCGATTAGGCTCTGACCTGCAGACCCGATACCAAGCCGCAGTGAACCCAACCGAGGCCGACCGTGTCCTGTCGTGACTCTATCGAGCTCAACTGACATTCGACCAGCCCGAGCGCGACAAGACAAGTTCCCAATGATCTGTTTGTGTTCCGACGACCCGATTCCAATCGATGCCAAGTTCGGTTGCCCAACAGACTCTGCGCTTCAGACGATCTCCTACAGAGGAAATCAGAAACATCTCACAGTCAGCAAAAATTTTAAAAAGTAATGTCTTAATTCTAACTGTAGATTTCGCTGCGTTAGGATTTATTTTGACAAGTTCAAACTATGCATGTTGTTGATGTTCCTGAACCTAGCAACTATCAGTTTCAAGAGACCGTGGCAACAACTAGAACAAAAGGCTAATGCCAAGAATTTCTAGGGTTCTTCGACAATTACAAAGGGAATCGAGGGCATTGAAGAAAGAAATTTAAGGTTGGTCAAGGGTTTTTAATTTGGATTTGAAGAGAAAAATCTAGGTTTGGTATTGATTTGTGAATTTGGGATTTAATAGCATTTAAAACAAATGAATGTTGAATTTAAATTCATCTAAAACGAAGTCGCCCGCTGTTGAAGTGGTCATTTTGTATGAAAAAAAAAAAATGCCACTTCAGTTAAATTGTCAGACAAGCTGGAATCACCTCGCCAGAGAACGACTCAATGCTTCGTCTTAAAATACAAAAAAAAAAAAGAAAAAAAAATGGTTATGTAGCAAAGTGTCAAGGTCCAAAAGTGATGTAGGGGAAGCCCCGGTCAGCTGCCAAGCGGTTCGTACGTACCTCGTCCATCAACGTTTGCATAGCATCACGCAAGTCGTCGATCCCCGTTGAGATATCCGTAATCCTCTCGTCCACTCCATGAAACTGCTCCTCGATCCGTTGGAAGCGTTCATCAATGGCTTGATCAATTACGGCGTTTCTTTTCGGCGGCATCGCTGATCGTTGCTGGTCTGCTGATACCAACTGTTGTAGGGGAAGCGTGAACGAATGGCAAATGATAAAACGAGTAAACGAGATACTCTCTCGTAAAACACGCAAAACGAGATACTCTCTCGAACTTGGGATACTCTCCCGAAAGAACACGATTAATTTTCCATTCTCAAATTCAACTTCATAAAACAATAGATGAGGGAGCCCTTTAAATAAGACTCCTAAACATTATTCTTAACTTGTCCAACAAGACAAGATTTCTAATATTTAATTCCTAATAATAATAATAATAATAATAATAATAATAATAATAATAATAATAATAATAATAATAATAATAATAATATTCTACACCAAAAAGCCGTGACAGAAATGTAAACATTGTAAAGGTCGTAATCGTCGGCTCTTTGGGGAGGCATCCTATAGGCTCCATATATTTGGGGCCCTATTTTTTTTTTCAATATTATGTATGTGTGTTGGGTTTTGCCTATTTGCACAAATAAAGAGGCTAATGGCTAAATATGGATTTGGTCAATTACACAATTGAAGGAGCTAATTAATGAATGAACTAACAGCAAAATATGTACTTTGTGTGGGAATTTGAGGCCTTAAATATTTCATTTGTTTTCATATAATGTTTGGTAAGAATAGTTGTGTGAAAATAAATATTCTTTGCAGTGATATGATTTTTATTTTCATCTCCTTGTTATCCTTGTGACTGTTTGAATGTAATTTATTAAATATATTTGAAGGTAATTTATGAATTCCAAGTTCTTGAAAAAAAAAAAGAAAAATTATTATTTTTTTAATTGTTTATTTATTTATTTAATAGTCTTGTTTAATTAGATTTTTTTTTCTTCTATAACTCTATTCTAATAGTCATAATTGCCACGCAAGTTCAAATCGAGAAATTCAAAAAGGACAAATTTGTCTGGGGCTTCCAAATTTCTGGAGACGATCCTGGTCGTGATGTCATATGCAATTTTGCGTTAAAAATGATTTATATTCAAGATTTTGCAGAAGATTAAGCACCCTTTATGTAAAACTTACATTTTCCCTTTGTTTTCATTAAAGTCCATTACTTCCTAAATTTCGACTAAATATCCATCGTTTTCAAGAACATATTATTTGCACCTTCACTAGACACTACTTACCAACACTAATTAAAAAAAAAAAAAAAAAAAGTCAGTGAAGAGCTTATCAGAATGAAAAGCCACGCTTTATTACATATCAGGTACATTTAGTTCTCCATCCTCTGATTAATTTCGAAATATTGAAATCTGTTAACACCAATATATCCTATCCCATTAATTAGTACTCCCATTCACAGATTCGCTTCACAATTGTCGTATCGTTCAGAAATGTTCAGAAATGATCAAAAGTCACCTAACGCTCTTATGGACACATGTAAGAGTTTTGCTTGGTCGAAAATCGAAACACATCACGTACGAGGAGACCTATCTCTTGCGCTTGGACTTTAGAGAAGAAGCCGACTGTGAGTTGGCGTGCCAGTTCCTCTTCCTCTGGTTAATGAACCAATTGTTTATCTGCTTAAGCTGCAAACCCGTTTGCTCAACCAGCCTTGCCTTATCGTCCTCCTGCATAAACGACAAACAAGTGTACATTACAAATTAAACTTAGCCGTGACTAATTAATTATTTGATATTATGAATAGTTACAAGAATTATTGTGCAGTCCTATTGCGTGCATGGGCTTATTATTCTTTTCGGAGAATAAAATTTGTATTTTATGATACGTACAGTCGGATAAGGCCACTTAGCGTGCTGCTGCCACCAGTTTTTCAAAACGGTGGTCGTGTCGCCTGGTAATTTCCCGGCCCTTCTTTTTCTCAGAATTTCCTCTCTCACATCTTCGATTCTTGACTTGAATCCCTGCAAAATCAAACCCCTGATTTTTTATTTTTTATTTTTTTTCACAAATTTCAGATCGCATAAAACGACTATTTTTTGCTTTTTGGACCTGTTTGAGCTCGATCTTGAGTTCTTGTCTCACTCGCTCCATTAAAGACCTCTCGGATTCGGTCGGGAGCAGAGGGCCGAATCCCATGAGGTCATGCCCCTCGGCTCCCGATTGGTCAAACGACAAATCCATTTGGAGCTCGTCTTCATCATCCGACATTGTTCCTCCACTTGCTTCGCCAAGCGTTGCACCTAATCATCATGCCGTTGTTAACGCGTTAACACGTCTAAAACACTTTTGATTTCGAATTTTCGGTGTTAATTTGTAGATACTAAATATAGGGATGAATAAATTGATTTAGAAGAAATTGTTCCCGACTTGATCCAAAAGCAAGTGATCATAATTAACAAGTATAAAGAGATGCTTGCAACATCAAATTAATTGAATTCTGCCATTAGTCAATTAGGTTGGTCAACTGTCTGGATCAATAGGTCCGCTTGAAAAAAAGTTCAGAACACATGATTCTGCCATGGTTGAATACTTGAATTCTCATTCAAAAGGGTTTCGACCAACCAATAACTGAATACGCTATGCCCAATCGAGAAATAGTGTTTAATATGTATCAATTATACAACTAATTAAACAACTAGTGTAAAATATAATTTAAAATTATTTCTGTAATTAACAAAATTCAACATAAAATATACTAAATGCGTGATTATTTTTTTCTCCCGACACACATATCGATTTGAAGCTTGATATATTGTTCGTCCCATGCATTGCACGGGTGAGGATACTGTTAGTAAAAGTATAAACAGGTGCTTGCAACATCAAGTTAGTGAAAATATAATTTAACAAAAATTTTATAAAATTTATGCAGTGAGTTGAGGCAAATGATAAATTTAACCACTATTTTCTTCAATTTTAGAAATTAAATACACACTAATTTATATTTAACCAAATATAAAGTAAATTTATCATGAGCAGGTATTAGAAAGTGAGCTCAACATTGTCGACATTAAATATCATCCACCTCATCATGAAGCTCATGACAAGATACGTTGGAGAATAAATTAGTAACATACTTTTAAAAAGTTGATGATATTAATGATTTTTTATAATGTTAAAAGTCACGTTGGAGATACTCCTTGGTAACCTTGCATTCAATACAACCTAAATATGAATTGCTATTTTCTTTTGGTAATTAATTAATTGTCTCTTAATTAATTCAATCAACTAACTCAACTAGAAACCCTCTCCTAACTCCATTAACTACTCACCCATGGGGCCCCACTCCAACTACCTCTTGTTGTACAGTCAGACTATACCTCAACCCCCCCCCCCCTCAAAGTCCCTTTTCCTCAACCTCCTCAACCAAAATCAACCCATTTTCATCTAACTTAATTAATACTCAACCAAATAATTAGGTTTAAATTGTGTTAATTATTAGATGATATGTTTGGTCATACAATTAAATTTCAAATACTTGTAAAATGAACACTACAATAAATCAATAATGTTCGGGAAATGCTAAAATAAGACTAAATTTTTTTTGTAATATCACTACTATTAAATACCAATTAATAGATAATAAAGGGAAATGTCACATTCCAGTTACGGAACCATTCCGTCGTGATTTGTAACCATTAGATTCGGGATAGTTGATCTAGCGGTTACAAACCCCAACGGAATGATTCCGTAACGGGACCATAGAATCTCCCAATAATATTATCTTGTGCAAGTTTTTTTTCTTGTACTTGTGGCCTGCAAATTTGTCCTACTATACTGCAATAGAGACAAATAAAATTATGAAACGGCACCGTACCTGTGAGAGAGTGTAGTGTGTGCTCAATTTCACGGCAGGCCATGACAGCCTCAACAGCATGGACTCTCACATGTTGCTGCAGTTCCTCTCTAAATGAACACAAAACTAACAAGTAATTCCCCTGTTTCACAACGTTATAAATATTATATTAGTTAATATTGTCCATAAATTCATAGGCATGATATAAGGAAATGCTGCAGTCCCCTTACGGAACCATTCCTTCGAGATTTGTAACCGTTAAATTATCATACAACCGTCATGGATAGTTGATATATAATCAAATTCACAGATCAGAGTGCAATTATTGGATTTTGAGTATACATTCGGTTAAATATTTATGTCCTTTTAGCCCTAATTTGTAAAAAATAATAAACAAAAAAAAAAAAAAAAGAAAAATCGTACCAAGAAGTTGTCAAGCTCTTGCCTTTCATGTGGGGAAAGCGAGCAATGAGAGGCCGCCTGAGCATAGGAGCGGAGGACATGGTGAGACTGAGACAGCTGGCTGTCGATCAGCGGCAGCTGGTCGATAGGCGTGGCCACACGCAGGCACGCCACGTGGGCCGACAGCAGCTGCTCCCACAGCGGGTGGACCGCGATCTCCGCCTTATTCCGCTGGTGGGCCATCTCGCCGGAGACCGCCATGGCCACCGCGTCGTTCATTCCGCCGCCGCCGGTATTTTCGCCGGAGCCCAACATGCCCAACCCTTGGTCCTCCATATTTTGATATATTAGTGTATAGATGAGAATCCCTTATATACTTGAGGTTTGATTGTATAAACAAAGGTCCAAATCAAGAAAAATGGGGACTTGTGTGCAAAACAAAGCAAAATAAAAAGATATAGAGAGAAAGAAAAAAAAAATGGTTGGGGGTTTTTTTATAATTTTTAGAAATGAAAAATAAAGAAATAAAAGTTGAGGTTGACGTGTGTTGAAGGGAGGACCACTTGGGGGAAAAAAGGGGTTCCTTGTTTAAATCGACAAAAATTTTTTTGTCGAAGTAAAAAATTCTGTCAGGTGTACGACCCGAGTCGATCAAAGATAATTCCGAATACCGTAATTGCCTGGTTGGCTAAAAAAAAGTATATATTTTATTTTAAAAAATATATATATTAATATAGCCTTTAATTGGAATTAGGAACACAAAACTTTTTGTACCTACTCAGCAGATACGCTGACAGTAGACTTGTCAAAACGGGCCTGGGCCCGCGGGCCGGCCCGCCCCGCCCCGCCAAACAGGCAGGTTGGGCCTACATTTTATAGGCCCGCCA